AACTGGATGAAGCAGGGGTCAATACATCAACGCTTCACCAAGGATGAGACCAAGAACAAAAACGGTGGGGATTGAATGGAAGATTAACGGCCTTTGACGTTGTTAAACGCAGAGTTGAAGATTTGAAGGTCTTAGCCGGCCGTTTGCAGGATATCCTAATTAGTCTGATTGGCCCCGAGAAGACATGTGCTGTGAAGAGCAAGACTATTCAGTACAACCTTCATTCGATACGTTTGATCATCGTGCGACGCTGCGCTAATCAATTTAGCTCAGTCTAAAGCTTTCGATAGAGTTGACCATCGATTTCCGAGAGCTGTCCCTTCCGCTGCAGGTTTCGGGTCGTACTTTCACACATGGTTTCGACTTCTGTATGCATTCCTCTGGTGGGCTGTTGGAAGTGAATGGAGTAAGATCGAAACATTTCGTATTGTCTCGCTCCATTCGTCAAGGTTGTCCACTTTCAAATTTGCTGTACGTTCTTGCGTTAGAGCTATTCCTTCACAAGTTGAAGACGAATACGGTACTTCGCGGAATTTCCCCATCTGGTGCTGTCGACTTCGGAATCTCTTGCAACTTTTCTGGACGGCCTCCTTGTTTAAGTTGGCGAATGCTGCCATAATCCTGGCCTTAAGTTCATCTTTGGTGTTACAGTGAGTTTTGTTGGTCTATCGCTCAACTGCGCCTCAGGCATAATAATCAAGAGTGTTGCTGTCTGAGGTGGCCACATGTAAGAAGTGATGTGGTCGCAGAAATTGTCTGACACCTATGACTGGTTTCTCTTTCTTGTGTGACATGGTGTAGAGTCCTGTTGCCAGCAGCCCCGCCCTTAAACCAATGCACTTGATGTCGGCCTCCATGTGGAGAGTGAAGCCCTGTGGGAAGATTAATGGAGTCATAATGTCGCCATCGCTCGTGATCACTTCAAACATCTTCGTAATCACTATTAGACTCATCCAACTCTTTACAAATCCTTTGCACTGTCCTCAGGTTGGTACGCAAGCAATCTGAAATGTTCGTATTGGAGCTTCCGACGCGAATGCCAAGCAGTTTTGCTTGCCATTTCCAAATTTCTAGTGGCGTGAATTGCGTCATGGTGCTCTTTTTCTCACAGACAATGCCCAAATGACTCTACTATTCTGTGCTGTCAACAAAATCAAAAACGAAACAACGAAATTAAAAATAAAAAATGGCGGCAATTTACCCATCGCGCCCTGTATTTCACGGAAGTAAGCGTTAAACACATGAAAGTGTTATTATCTACACAATCTTTCTTTTTTTTTCTTACTGAAACCAGGCAGCGTCTCTGATATGTCTTTTCCGTCTTTCCTCACAATCAAAACGGAATTTTCCATTATTTGAGGTATTGGCAGGACGTAACGTACGTGTTAAATAAGAAATAAAAGGACGAGCCGAATTATAAGATGATCTTTTTCTCTAAGCAAGGCTTTTATGCTCTTTGATCTTCATAGACGGACACACACAAATATACACACCCGAACAAATTTCTCATTTGGTTACAACTCGACCAGGAACATTTACAAAGAACTATTTTCAAGAATCATTTACAACTAAAAAAGAAATTTAGTCACATACCGAACTATCTACGGAAGCCTTATGATTGTATCTGTCAAAACGTAGTCATAACAAAAGGATGCGTATACTTGATTAAAGAATACATCAGCGAAAGACAACGAAAATAAGTATTCGAATACTTTGTATAATATATATATATATATATTTGTGTGTGTGTGTGTGTGTGTGTGTGTGTGTGTGTGTGTGTGTGTGTGTGTGTGTTAATACGTATCGATGAGTTTTATTTACGAAGCCCATATAAATAAGGAAATTGCTTGTCTGGTCTACACCAGGAAAGAAACTGTTGTACAAATATATTTGTACAGCGAGAAAGGGAAAAAGAGCCAAAAATAAAGAAATAAAATTCTCAATCGTTAAATGAACAAAAGCTACCCCAGAGATAATAAATGCAAGCTTTAACAACCTCGGAAAACAGATTGTAAAACGGTGGCAATTATAGGTCAACAAAATCAGCTTAAAAATAAATCCAATTTATAGAAGAAAAATTACCAAAGTAAATCATAATACCAAGGGCATAAGTACCAGACATGGCGGAAATTATCGTCTGCGCAGAGGAAAGAAATCCTCAAACTATTTCTTTCTCTATTTACTTTCTTCTAGGCATTGGTAAATACCAAAAGATTTTCACCATTTTCTTTGGAAAATCTTCTAATTCATATAAATTCTCACCTGCATTATTCAGTCTCTATAGGATTTTCTATCACATTAAATGTCCTTTAAACTCAATTCTGTATTCAATATAAAAGAACAATTCGAGGATTTTTTATTATAAGTTTATTTTCTACCGTTTGTTATATGAGCAAAATACTTCCCTCTCCATATATATATATATATATATATATATATATATATATATATATATATATATATATAAAATTCTGTATGTATTTGTGTGTAAATTGGGATTAAATATATATCAAAATTGCATAGAAATCCGAAAAAAATAGGAAGCATTTATCAATCGAATATGTTTCGCTTTTATTAAAGCTTCATCAGAGAATAAGATATAGAGAAAAAATTCCGATATTATTATTTTTGTGTTGTTTCATTTTCGATGATTATTCAGGCTTCATGTGCATTTGATTTGTTAAGCAGCTTTAGTATAATTTACGGTTTTCCAATTCAAGGACTGACGACGCGTCTTTTCGAAGGTTCGAGAAATTAACAGATTCCAAGCCTAGCTGAAAAACCGTAAATATTGCTATATGTGCAATAGGTATGTGTGTATAATAAAAACATTCCTGATTTAAAAATCTTACAATACCAAAAGGCCCTAATACAGATATAGATAAAACAAACATGTACACAGGCGGACAATCTCCACGTCTGAATATGAGGAGGTGACAATCTAGGATAGTTAATTTGATTTATTATACCCACTTACCCCCAGAGATTCCAAACCATTTTCCCCACACAAAGTTTTGTCTTTCTTTGATTTAAATTGAAGCAGACAAACACAGCATATGCTTTTTCGGCGAAACGCGTTTTTATTTAAAATTTTCCGTTTTCTCTTATCAACTTCACTTTTTTCGGATACTATTATACATCCTACAAACACACACACAAAACACACACACACACATATATATATATATATATATATATATATATATATATATATATATATATATATATTCCTTTTTATAAGACAGTATGTATATATAAGGATTCCTATTTATAAGACAGTGTGTATATATGGGGAGGGAATATAGATGTACATATACAAGTTAACGGGGACACCTCTCACACCAAGCTTAAATTACTATATAATTATAGAATCTGTTTATGCAAATCAAAGCTTAAATAACTATATAATTAGAGAATCTGTTTGAATTTATTATGCAAATCAAATTTAGCTTTAATAACTCGAAGTTGCTTTGAAAAACTTTGTAAAATTTTAAATGATCAATTTAGACGTCAAAACAAAACTAGAGTTAAATGTGTAAGTACTTTCACCGTGTTATA